ATTTTTTGAAAGTATAAGAGTATAGGCTTGAGTGTGTATTTGTCTCACATGATGCAGAATATCACTGCTCAAAGTGTGGTCAACAGATTGACAACACCCCATCACTGGGGAGATTTGAGAAATAAAGACTCTCAGGCCTCATCCCAGCACTACCAAAAGCACTACCACTACCTTTTTTTTTTTTTAAGTAGAAGTCTCACTCTGTCATCCAGGCTGGAGTGCAGTGGCACGCTCACGGCCATCACAGCCTCGGCCTGTTGGGCTCAGGTGATCCTTCCACCTCAGCCTTCCAAGTAGCTGGAACTACAGGCATGCACCATCACGTCCAGCTAATTTTTTGATTTATTGTAGAGATGAGGTCTCACCAAGTTGCCTAGGCTGGTCTTGAACCCCTGGGCTCAGGCAATCCTCTCACCTCAGCCTCCTAAGTGCTGGGATTATAAATGTAAGCCACCACACCCGGCCAGGAATCCATATTTTAACAAGATCCCTAGTTACTAATATGCTCAAGAAGATCTGAAAAGCACTAATGTAAAGTAACGTTTTTAATCCACCCAGCTATGGGGTAATCCTTGGGGAAAGATAGAATGACTTTAATAGAAAAACTTTGCCCAAAATATCCAACCAGGAATGTAACAACAACTTTTAGACACAGTTTACTTAATTAAAAAACAAAAAACAAAAAAACCCGATGCTTATCATGTTGCTGATGTATGGTAATGAAGTTTGAGGATAAAAACATGTAAGTTAAAATACCATATATTATATAAATATTCATGAACTGCTTGAATTAATTATACACAATCTTCTTTTGCTTCCAACACAAGGTAGTTTCTTTAGCAAAACATACACAACTGTTAACTATTACACCAAATTCTATAAACATGAAGATTACCTTAGTAAACAATTACTTCATGACTAAGAACAGTAGTTTCAAGAAGAATTGTGGCCAGTCAATCATAACCATGTTACTGTGATGAATTCTTGTCTGAAACACTGTGGAAACCCTTTCCCAAAGGAGTTCAGCCAGTACTGCAAATTACTGCTTTCCTCCAAGTATCTTTGAGCAAATCACTATCAATGCTTGGGACAAGGTGGGGATAAAGAATAGAACTGCAATTTCCACTTACAGTGTACTGCAAACACTGGGGTCAGGCTGTGACTCAAAAGAGGAAGCCAAGAGGAGAGGAGGAGGAGAACAGCTCCAGTACCTGGTGTTAAAAAATCCCGAGGTTCTTTCAAGCAATTCACCAGCACAAAGCAAATGAAAGAAGGCTTCCCCTTTGGCCCTGCTCACACCATACACCAGTCTTAGGCTGTGATTTACTGATTTCCTCTCTCCTTTAAGGCTCCCCTTGACATTACTTTTTAACTTGATTTGTCCTACAAAAGAAAATGAAAGCTAGAGATGTGAGGGAAGCAGAAACTGTCCCATACTTGCTTTCTTTCCCTAATAGGCCCAGAGTTATGCCCCAGGGATGTGCTAAGACCAGCCATGTTTCCTCTGTGGAGAAATGGCCTTCTATGATGCGTTCAAGTATAAATATGTTGCAGAGCAAAATGTACGTTCTCCTTCCACGCTAAGATCTAGATCAGTAGAACTTTCCTTCTACCTGTGTGTCTTCTCACCTGCAAACACTTTTAGAGATATGTGCTTAATAACTGTCTCCGTTTGGAAGAGAGAAATGCAGATGCTACTCCCAATAAAGAGCTCTTACCTTGTGAAACAAAACTGAATCAGCTGAGTTTTGGAATGTACATCACTCACTTATGTATCCCCAGCCCTAGCACAGTGCCTGGCTCATAATAGTTGCTTAATAAATGGTGGTGAATTGCACTTAGTTCTAAGTCTCCTAGCACTGAATTAGTTAAATCTTGGGTGTTACCTTGAAACCAAATAATGCATTTGAGTTTATCCATTGACACACAGGCTCATGATTTAGTCTTTCCCTCAGCTTAATTATTTTCTCAGTTTTAGGGAGATTTTACAGTAATAGCACATTTCAAGTAGTATATATGCTGAATAAAATTGTCTTATGCATTACGGGTGGATGAAAGAAAGGATCAATATATTGTGGGTATCAGTTGTTTTGAGAGTATGGCAGACATGGGAAAACAAAATTGCTTATAGCAAGCAAGCAATCCACTCATGTGAAACAAGTTTTTCTTTGACTTGCTACTCTTGCTCCTTATTTCTCTGTTCCCCCTTTTTTTCTTCCCTTTCTTTTTTTTTTTCCATTTCACCTCTTCTGCCTTTTTATGTTCTTTTGTTGTCCTTTAAGCTAGTTGGGCACCCACAGGTAACCAACATTTACCAAAGGCTCTCAACTTTCTACCTCTCTTCCTTATCCTGAGGATGGCTCTTGTCAGCAAAGAAAAGATGCCCAGTTCAAAAAAGGTGTAACTGATCTCCCACCTTCTGTTTCTCCCATAATCAAGCATGCTGAGTAGAGTCAGCAGAGCAAGCCTATATAGGGTCTCCCTATATAACATTTTGCCATTGTAAAAACCCCAGTAGTCTATTAGTTAACTCAGACAAGTTTACATAGTTAACATACAAGTTATTTTTTAAATCAAGATAACATTAGTCAACCCCTTATCTATGAGTTGTTTATTGGAAAAAAAGTCAAATGCCCTACAAGAAATTTTAATAACCTGTTTTAAAAACAACACATATTTTTAAAAGCATATTCACAAATATCGCTGGTTTCTAAGACAGTTCCTTCTCTACATATGAATGTGTATCTCAGAGAGATCATTAATGATGCCATCAAATAAAACAGACTTTTACATCTGCTACTGGTTCATTGCTCAAGAGTTCTTGCTTTGCTTAAGATTTCTGAAATACAATAAATATTACAATTTCACACATTTTTGATATTTTTTTTTGCTCCCTCTCTTTTGTATTCCAAAGTATATATATTTCTATCCTCAACTAATTTCAATATGTGGCAGTTTTACAAGTCACATCTAATAGCACTGGTGTCTTTTTCTCATACTTCCCTAAACCAACCAAAATGTTCATTTCAATAAATATTTTTAAATTATTGGAAAGCTAATTCTATTTTTTAAATTATATGATTGTGTAGCCTATCAAATTTGGAGTTTTTCAATTAATATATTCATTGTTTAATAAGTCAATATATCAAAAGAAGTGATCTAAGAAATAAAATCTTCTCTAACCAGTGAAATAAGATTTTTGAACTTTGGTGCCAAATTTTTATCTTAATTTTTAATATTTATATGTGTATTTCCAAGCTATCTCACCATTTACTAAATTACCTTTTATAATTAAATTATAACTTTTAGGTTTTTCTACAGCATTTCTTCCTAATTTTGATTGAGCAATTAAATATAAGCCTCACACTTTTATTAATTATATGTCTCGTAGTCTTCAACAGTGCAAGGTAATTAGGGCACCAGTATTCTTTATAACAAATGCATTCATGTTAATCACCTTGGTGATTCATTAGCAGGACCAAGTATTGAATCAAAACTGAAAACAAAATTCTTTTGAATAGAAGAAGGCCTTCTTAGTCACAAGTTCGCCTTCAGCTAGGGAAGATACTATGTTGATGTCACAATATTTAAATTTTCAAAGACCGATGATCACTAAAAGCCTGTAGTATTCTCATTTAAAGCCATGTCCCTGATTGTTATCATTATGGATAAAGTGCTCTGAAAGCACATCAAGCAAAATCATTCCAAAACTCTTCAGCCACATTCCTCTATGTCCTGTGCAATGTTTACTTAGCTTCATTATCATAGTCTTCCTAACACTCATCTGTGAGTCTTTGGTATTTTCTTAAATACACCTTTGGCACCTAGACTTTCCAATCTGTTTTATCAGCTAATGACAATTCTTTAAATGATATGCTCCATGGGACAAAACTCCAGACATTGAAACCAGACATCTCACTCAAACCTCAAAGAACGTGATGAACCACTCCAAACAATTTCATGGATCTATCCAACCTGTTAAATAATTATCTGTCAAATTGCAAAATATAGGGACTTATCTAAACTTTATCACTAAAGGCATTCTGAAACATTTTGTCAAATAGAGAATTATCAACTATTATACAAAAATCAGTGCATAGTTTCATCCCGGTAGCCTTAAATGCACTCTTAACTAGATGAAGAAATAACATCATGTAGAATTTCTGTTGTTCTCACCATTTTTGCAGATAAGGTTTTTAAAAATTATCAACCCATTAAAAACAAATTTTACCTGCCTACACTTTTCCTGAGCTTCACAGTCTATTTTTTTTAAATGGCATCATAAATAAAACCAACTTCTAACTAAAGGCCCACCACAGATTTTAACCAACCCGTAGAACTTAGAGATAAGCAGATCTGCAAGGCTATTTCATTGAATGTCACTTTTAGAGAGAAAAGTCTATTAAGACTTCCACCCCCTCAAAAAAAAAAAAAAGTAAAGTGAATCAGTTTGGAGTAATCGGTTGTTACATTCAGCAGTTAAGTTGCAGTGTATGCTTGCCCCATCTTGAGCTGCTACTAATGGTAAAAGAAGAATGATGTCAAACAACTATTTGGCACAATGCGTGACAAACCAAAGCACTTTAGCGAGAATCAACCCTTCCTCTTGTCATTGACAGATAACTAAATTTGTTCCACCCTTAATCCTCAGGGTCATGAATGGCATTATCAACTTCATCTGTTACTTTTTGTTACTTTCCACTAAGATTGGCAGAATTTAGAAATAGAGGGTTTAAAAGAAAAGTTTAAATCTGTATAACAGCTTGATATAGGTCCCTTCCTACACACCTTATCTGAAAAAAAAAACTTTGCTTCTAAAGAACTAATTCACTGCTTTATAATATGTGAACATATTTTCAATTCAATTTGATGATACTGAGGACCGTTGAGTAATAACCATGGTTCTCTCAAATCAGTTCAGCATGCATCTCATCTTTGATATCAAATGCACTGGTAACTAGTGCCTTATATTAACATCTTCACTATAAACAATTCAGGCATTTAGAAACAAAGTATCAATGGACTTAACAGTTACTTTAATTCATTTTGTAAATAAGCAACTGAGAATTTTGCTCCAAGTGGCTGCTAGTGTAGCCCATTCCATAAATGGCATTCTCCGAAGCATAAGGCACAATATGATACGAATGCAGCTCTTCGTAATAGAGAGACTGAGAACAGCATTCCTGTACCATAAACTTCAGCCGTTTTCTTGTATCAGAATAAGCAGTCTTATAACAGGGGGCTTCTTTAAAGTATTCATAGCTCTCTTTCTCCGTCTCTAGATGTATCTTCCTCAGCAAATTGTTAATTAACACAGACCTTCTTAAGTAGGTTTCTGGGTCTTCAAGAAACCTGAGCTTCTCCAGAGAAAGCTTGAGAATGCAAGTCCTGTCCTCAGGTAATATCAGGTGCTAGAAAGCAAACACAGTCATTGAGTCTACATTCAGAAAAATGAAAAATATAGCTTATTGCTATTACAATGTTTATAAAAATAAAAAAATAATAAGTAAATTCTTACTTTTGGAAAATACCCATGGTAATCTTGATGTAAATCTTCTTCTTCTGCATATTTTCGCTTAAAGTAGGCTACTTTCGACGTTGTTAATGTATATGTTAATACTTTCGTTGGATAAGCTAAACAAATGAAATAATTGGGGAGAAGTCAGATTTCATTGTGACAAAGAGTATTTTATGATAAAAATTATACATGTAAAAATAAAGTGGTGACCCCAGAAATTAGCATCCTCTCTTCACTAAGCAACATGGTAAAGCGGTCAATAGCAACTGTTCTATGATTGAAAAGTCAACAGACAGGAAAATGTTACCATTCAGACCCAAGATAGCTGTTCTAGATTATGTTTGTTTCCTTAAGTAGCTTCTCAAAAATCAAATACCAATATGATATTTAATTTTATGTCACAATGTCACAACACACCCAAAGATTTGAAATCGATTCACAAGATGTAATGAGAAGAGATAAGTAATGTTCTCATCATTCCTTTAGTTAATATACAGAGGACATTTAATGTGGTTGGGTTAATCAAATTGGTATAAAATACACTTTGAAGAAATAACTGTATATCTATAGACAAAACCTTATGATAAAGTGATGCCATCATTCTAGCACATGATTAATGGAGTAAATTAATCAAGTAAATGAAAGATTTAAGAAACTTTCTGACTAGCAAACTTGACCTTGGTATAGTATCTGAAGATGAAGATCTTTGTTTTCTCCCTTAAAATACAATTGCTACTTGTTTAAGGAAGGACAGAGTTCCAAAAGGCAATTTTCAGAAGAGTGTTTTAGTTTAAAGGGAGTTCCTAGAATGTACTCTAGGTGGCGCTCGTATCATAAAAAGGAGGCAAAAGACAAGCTGCTTCTTAGAGACAGCATTGAATGAATGTAGAAAGCAAATTGAGTCCTGTTCAGTACTCATTCAACCTCAGAGGACCAGACCAGAAAACAAGTTCATATCTAATCAGAATTTATTTTACCTTTAACACACATCCTCAAATATTTCTGTGATAAAACCATCTAATTCACAAAATAATGAATAGTTTATGCGTTGGTTAAATAGATTTACAGCAAGATATTTGATGGTTTCCCTCTAAAATATTAAGTTTTCATAAGATTACATATTAAAAATTTGTTCAAGATTCTGCCTTTTCTAGTTTTTCCTCCAACTTAGTGGTATCTGAGCTGTAAAATCTTCCTGTAACATTTTGTAGCTAGAGGGTTTTGCTGAATCAGTAGGAAAAGTTTCAAAATCACTCCTCAAGCATTCCACATTTCACTGGTATCACTGGGGATTATAAACCCAAGAAAGCCTTAAGTGAGAGCTGGTGTGTTTTGTTAAGGGAATCAAGAACTTAAAACCACTGGTGTGTCTGATGTAAAAAGAAACTAATATGTAATAATTTACAACTGACAATAGTTGCTACTATACATACACAATCGCTGAATTCAATAGGCAAACCCAACTTATATAGTTTTCACTGATTTCAAAAGGATGGGGGAAAAGAACACTGCACAGAAAACAAAAAAAAGCATCGCTGAACCCAGTTTTCTCAGGGGCTATATTTTAATAAACTGCATTTTGTTAGGTATATTTTTAAAGGACTTAATCAAATAATTAGGTGAGGCTCTGGGTTATCACATGGGACAGTTACTTTTACTTCTTTTTAGACTATTTAAATAATTGATGTCACAGTGGTTTTTGAATGTTAAAGTGTATCAGAATAACGTGGAAGACTTGTTAAAATACAAATTGCTGGGTCCCACCCACAGAGTTTCTAATTCAGTAGGTCTGAACTAGGCAGAGAATTTGCATTTCTAACAGTTTCTAGGTGCTGCTGCTGGTGGTCCAGGGATCCCATTTTGAGCACATCTACGTTGTAGCATTAAGCAGGTGTAGTAGGAGCTCTACAACAGCAAGTTGAATGCAGAACATTTGGTCTATCAGCTGAGTGCCACATCCACAGAACGCCAGGCAATTGGCATGACTGATTTGTGTTTGTGTTTGTTGGTGTTGCTTCCCTACATTGACCTAGATGCTTTATTCCATGAGCAAAGGCAGACTGCACTTTAACTAAATAGTGAAGAATGAAGCCACTTTTCAACATGAGTTCCTGGATTCAAATCAAGAAGCATCAATGGCTATTATTAACATTGCAGTTGGGCAGTCCACTATTTTTTTTTAACAAGGCCCAATAAATTACTATAGTGTAGGAGAGAGGAAAGACCTGGAAAAGAGAAGAGTAACTTTGCCACAAGCAAACATGATTTTCTTATATGTATCTTTTAAAAATGTGTGCTCATTTTATCTTCCTAAGTAATGCAATGATATCTATAGCATTTATGACCGATTAAAAACCTTTAGCTGGGCTCGGTGGCTCAGCCTGTAATCCCGCGCCTTTGGGAGGCTGAAGCGAGTGGATTGCCTGAGCCCGTGGGTTCGAGACCCGCCTGGGCAGCGAGACCTCATCTCTACAATAAATCAAAAAATCAGCCAGCCATGGTAGCGTGCGCCTGTAATTCCGGCTACTCGGAAGGCTGAGGCGGAAGGATCGCCGGAGCCCAGCAGGTCGAGGCTG